AGCGCGACCAACGCCAAGTGGGAGTAGAGGGAGAGCGTATGATGAGATGAGAGTGAAACAGCAATAGTTCCGATGCAACGCATACTGTAATTTTTCACTTTATTTTCATCGTAATAAAATAGTTTATACACTTTTGTTAATATTTTTGTTGATTAAATCGTTAACCTTATTTCTTAGGGAATAATGGTGAGCTTTGACACCATTTAATTTCTACTCTCTTTGACCTCTGTCCTTGAACCCTAGCAAAAGAAATTTGGTGCGGATTTGAATTTTTATCATTTCGTAGATTCGAATGTGCAAACATCGAATCTGAGGAAACACTCTTACATGATACTAGTGCAATTTAAAGATTGTGAGGAGATGTTCAACTTACATGTGTATCCGAAATTTGTTTATTTTATAGGTATTTAATCAGAAGATATTTCTTGTATGTAAATGTGAATTGTCTTGCCGTTCGTCTGGTACTAAAAAATATTTTTGTTTTTGTAAATTGTCTAAATATTAGATTACATTAAAAAGAAAAAAGACAAATTAATAATCAGTAATACACAGATTAGTAAGATTGTCTCTGAATGGCAATGTCAGTCGGGGTCGCGTTCGGAACCTGCGCTCCGGGTGCAACCAATTTTGACATGGCGATAGTGGCGCCCCCCTGAAATCACATTGTTGTTGTTTTTTGTTTTTATTTTGTTATGTTTATTTTATTACTTGTTAATGTTATTGTTTCGTGTCGTCACTAAACCGGTTCCAACGGAAGACCAGCGTTGATGGCAACATCAACACATGCTGAGTTGGGACCGATTTGAGACAAAAAAAAAATATGTATGTTTTGTTCTGTTTATTGTGTATGTGTTGTCTCAAATAAATTTATTTTTCTTTCTTTCTTTCTTTCAAACACGTTCAATTAAATTGCATTAGCGTTTTATTTTGTATTGTTGGTGTATTATTCATCTTCCGGTTTTTTTATGTTTAGTTTCGTTTTCGTTTTATTTTCGTTCAATAATAATTAAATATAGTACGTGTATAAAGTAGGTACTTAAGTTAGGTAGTAAGTGTAAATAAATAGTAAATTCTGTGTGTGGTGTTTGTGGCTTTTCGGCCAAAAATTTAAGGAACATTTAATTACGATGTCACGTATTAATTCAAGTATCCTTTGGGACTATTTTGATAAAGAAAATGTTGCCGACAAAAAGGCCAAATGTAGAGTTTGCGGCGATACCTACAGTTACAAAGGAACTACCGGTAACTTAAAAGCACATTTAAAAAAAAGACACCTGGATGCCTATTCAAGAATTACTGCTGGACAGCATGAAACACGAGTGACTACAGCAGTAGCCTCGACATCAGCGCAAACATCGACAGCGACTACTTCGCGGGTGTTAAATACGACGGCCGCAGCTACGTCGATGTTAACATCTGCCATAGCAACAGCGGCGACTTCATCTAGAGGTAACCAACAAACAATTGATCGGTGATGTTTGTGTGATTATATCTCAATTAACCCTAATTTATTTTCTGTTTTTTTTTTCTAGTTGTATATGGTGCTGACGGCGAATACAAACCCTTGATCAAACGAAAACGAATAAGGACGGCGTTCACTACTTCACAAATTGCAGTGTTGGAAGAACAATTCCGTAAAAGACCTTACGTCTCACTACAAGAGCGACGATTGCTGAGCAACAACCTGCAAATCAGTGAAAAAGTTATTAAAGTGTGGTATCAGAATCGGCGCATAAAAGAAAAACGAGAGAAGCGTGAAAGTAGATCATCACAATCGCCAGATTGTCAACTGAACAACGTTCAGATGACTGATTCTCAGATTATAAATGTCGGGGATATTTTCGACGACATAGAAGATTTAATGTCAAAAGATTTGAGTGAACGTTAGAACGTAACCGAAACTACGCGGCCCATCTACGAGCCTATATCTCCACCTGACTGCAATTGCCAAATATAATATTTGAGCAAGTCTTAGAACCCTACTTTATTAGTTTTAGTATTCTCATATTTCAATGTGCAGGGGTTCCCCATATTATTATTTTCTTTGTTTTAAATGCTTCACTTTAGATTCGTCTGTAAACAGTACTGTCCTCCAGTTGTCCATGGTCCCATTTAAGTGTTCGCGAGCAAATCTTAACCGTGCTGCACGATGTGCCCTTGTCAACTTGAGCCGGATTACTCACATTCTGGATCGTTGGCCATCCTCATGAAGTCTATTCCGAATGATTTGATCACTTATTCGTGTGCCAGTAGATTGGCGTAAACGATTTTGTAAGGTACGAGCGATTATTTTACGCTCTCGACGTACAGTCTATCGCATATAACGGTCTTCCTAGTCGGTGGTAACTCGAGTTCTTCCTATTCCCGCTCTCCTAGCAACACTACCAGTCTCTTGGCAGCGTTCCCACAGGTTACGGATAGCGCATGGTGACACACCAACTCGTATTGCCACTGATCTCTGTTAATGTCCTTCCTGAAGCATAGTAGGAGAGGGCGATACAAATCGTATATAGATATTGAAACGTATATTGCATCAATATCGTCAAATCCGATATCAATGCGTTCTGAAACTATATATTTTGGCAAAACATTATATTGCATTGGGAATGCGATACGCGTTGACAGTACTGTATCGTATATAGACTGTTTAAAGGGTATTGAACCGTATCACAATGGAATATGAGCGCGACCAACGCCAAGTGGGAGTAGAGGGAGAGCGTATGATGAGATGAGAGTGAAACAGCAATAGTTACGATGCAACGCATACTGCAATTTTTCACTTTATTTTCATCGTAATAAAATACAATCAGTGTCACATGAGCGTACGGGCCATAACTTCGAAATGGAGCATCGAAGCTAGGTGATGGAGACATTTTTGTACTCAGAGGAAAAAGGTATATAATGCGATGTCTTTCGAGTGTTAGCCGTAAAGTTTGATTTTTTCGAAGATAAGAACGACCGAATGATTCAAAGTGCGCCCTGCGTCGCCCGTATCACCTAATCAGTTTACATAGCGTTGATCCATCTTCGAAAAGCCTGCCTGCTCATGTTCACATGCAGGCACTTAAAACTTACTTTTCCTCACGTAATACATGTGGCGGGTTTGTTACTCCAGCAGTGACAATCCCACGACCTCAGCGAAGCTACACAGTTTTGTAGAAATGCAAAGGTTCTTAGGAACATACTTGTTGCTGGTTTGTCTAGTCCTCTTCGGTTCAAGAGTAATACAGAATGAAGTTTATGGAGTGATGGCCTATGCATAGCGATATGGGCAACACGGCGTAGAAGCCATATGCATGTGACGCCCATACTGGTCATCCACACGTCCAGAGACGTCCGCACGTTAGTTTCGATGCTGAATGTTAAAAAAAATCGTATGATTTTAGTGTCACCACGTTTTTGTATTTCATCATGTTGACTCTTTGCAAAAAGTCAAAAAGCACGTCGAGCACCCATGACTAAGAATATAAATCCCAGGTGAAACATATCTGAATAATACAAAACATGTTGCGCCACTCGAGCAATTCCCTATTTATTAAGTGATAACACAACGACGATACCATATATGGCGACGATATTATACCATATTCATTTTAGCTCAATCGCACAATCATATCTATTCTCAGTTGTTGCTTTGAACGTCTAACGTGTAGGACGCGGCTACGATCACGCGCCGTTTTGCCGTTTTAGTAGGAGCCAAGGTTTACCGACTCGTATCATCGCAATGAATTCCCGGAAACGCAAAGTGTCACGAGCTTTACCGCGGTCGCCGGAGCTGACGTCCAGAGAAAATTATTACGAAAGGAGGTTATTCTCTGCCTTTGCTTGAGTGAGTTCCTGCGTTTTGAAGACTTTCGGAGTTTGGTCAGGACCGTTTGGCCCAACGACGACGAATGTGATGACATTATCCGATCGAGATTGTGGGAATTATCTACTCACATTGCTGAAATACCGTTCATCAACGGAAAACATTTGAGCATTGAATTTAACTACAATCCATTTAGGAAAAATCAAGACTGTATCATCCTTATCAATGTTGAAACTCTATTACCGATATTCGGTAGGATTACGTGGCCAGCGGTGAATATGTTTACCAGCGTATCACAGATAGAAAACTTTGTCAGAATGCACGTTCATCTAAACAGGTGTTCGGACTATCGACACTCTTCTTGTTAATGTCACCTGAAAAATTCCAACCCCCACGAGGCTGGAGCCTTCGCAAAGCCCCGAGTTGATAAATGCAAGTTTGGGCACTTTCATCATTATTGCTCTCAACACGTTGGTCATTGGTTGAAGTTTTTTTTGCGGCCTGTGCTCGCCGCCAAAGAAGGAAATAACTCTCCTCACAAGAACGACATGGAAAGTTACTTGTCTTTTTTAAGTAATGCAATTACATTTTAGCGGACGGACGATAAGCGGCGGGTCAGAAGTACAAGCAGTGATTAAATGCATGTCAATAGGTCATACTTGTAATTTAGTAGTAATTTACGACTCGGCTTGCTGGTTTGAACACTTGAGTGTAAAATTATACAGCAAATATGTTTATTTTCATTTCCTTCCTGTGTCCCTTTATCACTATATAATAATAGAAAACGTGTAGAACAAGTTCGAAGAGTACTAGAGAATAAACACCAAGGCGTATGAGTCTTCCAATGTTACTCTGAGTTTGCACTTAGTTCCTCTTACATAAAAAATGTTGCAAAAGGATTGAAATAAACTTTTATCAGCTTAATGTGTAGGATTGTAAAGGTAGCTACATGTCCACGATAATAGATCCCAGCTTTGTAGCGTGCAGACAAAGTCACCGCTAACAGATATCGCGGCCACGCGTTAAGCAAAAACAGCGTGGAATATGCAGTGTAAACACAGTCACTACGCCCGGCCGTTATCAGTATGTCACTTTGCGGTCAAACTCGAAACATATTTATATTTACAGTAGTTATGAAACATAAGACGAATTGAAGTCGCACGTTATCGATCTAGACGGGTTATCGAAAGTATATGACGTGGTGCATTCGGCTTAATCTGACTGTAAATGTATTATATTGGTTATACAGACAAGTTATCACGCGTGACTTGCGACGTTATCATCGGGAATTTCCAATGATTCTCAAAGTGGGGGCTAGCGTTACCCGCGACTATGGGATATTATTGTATCGCGACGTCAAATGGTGGTTTAAAAAAAAATACTCCGCAGTAGTGAGACTTATGTTTTCTTCCTATGGTCAAAACCCGAGAGTCTTTTTGATGCATGCGAGTCTCTCAATGTGGAAATATTTATACGGATCAAACTTTGAGAACCGGTGGCTAGGCGGTGCATCTTGCAACAATGTAACAGACGGATATAATTTGAGAAACTGAGGTTTCGTGACTATAAATATCGCAACTGACAGTCTCGATTGCCTAGTATCCTATGAACGTCTGGAAACGTAGAACGTTTTCGAACGTTGCATTGTTATAAAGTCCGCATTCTCTTCTAATTACAATGTATTCGAAAGGAAACGACGTGGCGTCAAAACGCCGCCGCATCTCCAGAAAAACGGCTGCATCAGCAGTATCAGACTCAAAATCACATCCAAGGGCTTTTTCTTTAAAGATGGTCCTCTACGTGGCTGACTTCATGCGCTTCCAAGACTACAATAGATTCATTATGTCTCTTTATCCGAATAAGGACATGAGCGATCCCATTCGGAATAAATTGTGGGAGCTCTCTACTTACCGGATCGAAACCATGTTCATCAGAGGGAGGCCACTGATGATGGAGTACAACTTCGACCCCACGAGACCAAAATCCCATCGCATACTGATGAACGTGGATTCTTTGATACCTATTCTTGGCGGGCTCGTGTTTCCGAACATGAAAAAATTTGCAGGGATTTCAGAGATAACGGATTTCGTCAAAATGCACACACATTTGAATGAGTGCTCGGGAGGTCGATTCGCTGCCTGTGCGTGTCACTCGACTAACGAGAACGGCCGAGGTTTGGGAACCTCTGAAAAGCCTCTAACGGATGCGTGCCCGTATGGACACTATCATCATTACTGTTCGCATATATATCGTTGCAAGCTGGTTGAACGTTTTCGAGATTCACATGGTGGTACTGCAAGAACACCGGCATAATTCCAACGATCAACGCGCTTGGCGCTACGTACTTTCTGCGGAAGAATCTGTTGACGCTCAGAGGGTCGAAATGCAGCGTAACGAGACCGTACTCTACGGAATGCTCTCATAGCGTGATCTTATGTCTTTTCGCCGCAGCTGCATGTTTTCAGTAGCCTTAATTTTTTATTATTATTATGCCAATGTATAAAGCTTATGTTAATGTATGCCGCTAGTTTGTATATTGATATAAAACATATTGTTAATAATGTGTTTTTTTTTTATTTTTCTTTCCTGCTTCATGTGTAGGCACTTTGCTGTTGGCGCCCGATAAGAACATCACCATTGTTTGTGGCAAGTGAGCAGCGCCACTCGACATGCGTCAGTACTGTGAAACAAGCCACACATGTTGCAGCGCCTACTAGAGTCAGCAGTACAAAAACTTTTTCTACAAACTTGCCGTCTTTCCATCAAGTCACCTATGTCGTTCGCTACGTACAGCAGTACAGACGGATCATGCACGTTGTAGCCACAGCCGTTGAAAAGATTTGACTGCTGCCGTAGATCGTGCGAGACCACTGAACGTTCTCCGCAGTTCAAGATGTCAGACTGTTCGTGGAACGTGCTGGCTGGCGGAGGATTATCATAATAATCGTGGCTTCAGAAAGTCACCGTTCAGTTGAAAATGTTCACTAAGCTATCCTCCATAGCACATGACTCTGCGGAACTACTAAGACGTGTGGCACTGGCCGCAGTGATTGGTCAGGCCATGGCTTGACGTTATCAACACACAATGACGAATACTTATGCTTCTTTGCGCTCGCTCCTGCTATCAAGCTTCGCAATCGGCGTAACTCTCCGTTCTCTTTCTGGTGGCTTATGGGATTCAAGCATCATTCTCTGGCGATCTGCTATGGATGCAAGGACTATTGATAGGAAAAACGCACGTCATTGTGAACATGCTGCCGAGCGTGTTCGTCGGATGGTACAGCACAATGGTTATACTGAATGCGACATGATTGGAGCTCAGCACAATGGATATACTGAATGCGACATGATTGGATACCAAAGCTCCAACATCTTTGCATGATACAGTTTTCTTCCCTGGGTATGAAAATGTCATCCTAGCCTTCTCTCGAGGTGCTTCTCTTTGAAGTTGTAGACCGTACGCTCTTGAGCCATTGACAGTAGTTTATACACTTTTGTTAATATTTTTGTTGATTAAATCGTTAACCTTATTTCTTAGGGAATAATGGTGAGCTTTGACACAATTTAATTTCTACTCTCTTTGACCTCTGTCCTTGAACCCTAGCAAAAGAAATTTGGTGCGGATTTGAATTTTTATCATTTCGTAGATTCGAATGTGCAAACACGTTCAATTAAATTGTATTAGCGTTTTATTTTGTATTGTTGGTGTATTATTTATCTTCCGGTTTTTTTATGTTTAGTTTCGTTTTCGTTTTATTTTCGTTCAATAATAATTAAATATAGTAAGTGTATATAGTAGGTACTTAAGTTAGGTAGTAAGTGTAAATAAATAGTAAATTCTGTGTGTGGTGTTTGTGGCTTTTCGGCCAAAAATTTAAGGAACATTTAATTACGATGTCACGTATTAATTCAAGTATCCTTTGGGACTATTTTGATAAAGAAAATGTTGCCGACAAAAAGGCCAAATGTCGAGTTTGCGGCGATACCTACAGTTACAAAGGAACTACCGGTAACTTAAAAGCACATTTAAAAAAAAGACACCTGGATGCCTATTCAAGAATTACTGCTGGACAGCATGAAACACGAGTGACTACAGCAGTAGCCTCGACATCAGCGCAAACATCGACAGCGACTACTTCGCGGGTGTTAAATACGACGGTCGCAGCTACGTCGATGTTAACATCTGCCATAGCAACAGCGGCGACTTCATCTAGAGGTAACCAACAAACAATTGATCGGTGATGTTTGTGTGATTATATCTCAATTAACCCTAATTTATTTTCTGTTTTTTTTTCTAGTTGTATATGGTGCTGACGGCGAATACAAACCCTTGATCAAACGAAAACGAAAAAGGACGGCGTTCACTACTTCACAAATTGCAGTGTTGGAAGAACAATTCCGTAAAAGACCTTACGTCTCACCACAAGAGCGACGATTGCTGAGCAACAACCTGCAAATCAGTGAAAAAGTTATTAAAGTGTGGTATCAGAATCGGCGCATAAAAGAAAAACTAGAGAAGCGTGAAAGTAGATCATCACAATCGCCAGATTGTCAACTGAACAACGTTCAGATGACTGATTCTCAGAATATAAATGTCGGGGATATTTTCGACGACATAGAAGATTTAATGTCAAAAGATTTGAGTGAACGTTAGAACGTAACCGAAACTACGCGGCCCATCTACGAGCCTATATCTCCACCTGACTGCAATTGCCAAATATAATATTTGAGCAAGTCTTAGAACCCTACTTTATTAGTTTTAGTATTCTCATATTTCAATGTGCAGGTTCCCCATATTATTATTTTCTTTGTTTTAAATGCTAATTGTCTACCTCCCCAGTGAAACCGTCTCTTCTTTGAGTCTTTACCTTTGTTAATTTTTCAACTGTTCAATGAATTGTATTATAAACTTTTGATTTTTAATATTTTAAAAATATAATAGGTTATACTTAGTTAATAATTTCTGTTAGTCACTGTTTCTTAGTTTACAGCAGTTCGATTAGGTAGGGTTATATAATGTTATGGTTTATAAGATTTTATTATTTGATATTTTTATTGTTTTTTTATGTATGACCTCTCTGTAGTTAATATCTGTCCTTTTATTTAAATAACCTACTTAATTTGTATCTTTTTACACTCTTTGATTTTATTAGGTTAAGATATTTATTTCACATTATCAATTCCATTTAAAAATATACCTACACATTCACTATACGTTTGTGTAATGATTTGTTAGATTTGTTTGTTGATAGTTATCAACCATTTACGTTATACTCTATGGCACAAGCAAGATGGCGGACAGACGATAATTGCAAAACAGTTAGAAGTTTATTAAAAGTGGAATACGATAGCAAAACAATCTTACTTTATTAAAGTGTTTCTTAATCAGATTACACATAAAACATGGCGCAGCTAGAACTTAAATATAACTAAAAATGGCGACTGCATCTAATGTACCGGGGAAACTACTTCTAACTGGGAATTTGGGTGAGAATTGGAAATGATTTAAACAGCAATTCGTTTTATACATACAAGCATGTGGCTTAGAAGAAGTTCCAGAGGCACGTAAAATCGCAGTGCTTTTAAATATCATTGGGGAAGATGCCTTAGATCTTTATAATACATTTGAAATAAAGGACAAAACTTTGGAATCCCTTTTAAATTTATTTGAAGAATACTGTATTCCAAAATATAATATTCTCCATTCTCGGTACATATTCTATAACAGAAATCAGAAGGATGGCCAGCAGCTGGACAACTTTGTTACAGATGTAAAGTTGCTTGCAAATAATTGCATTTTTTGTAAATCTTGTAAAGATTCCATGATTCGCGCCAAGCTAATTCTTGGCACAATTGACAACGAATGTCAAAGAAAACTCATAAAAAAGGTGATCCATCGCTTGAAGATACTATTGAGTTACCTTGAGAGTGTCTGAATTAACTATGAGGCAAATTCAAGATATTCAAAAAACTGACGTTCATTCATTAAATAAATCACAAGGTCAAAGAAAAATTCCAAATAGGGAACAAACTAAACATGAAGTATGTTCAAATTGTGGTTATAATCACAGGTATGGCAATTGCCCAGCTTTCAATAAAACCTGTTTAAAATGCAAAAAAAAGAATCATTTTGCTTAAATGTGTCGTTCACTAGATAAAGTGCAAGTAAATGAAGTGAAAGCAGGAACTGAAGTAGAATATTTTTGTGGAACAGTCACCTCAACCTTATTTGTGAATTCAGTGGCATGGTATCAAGATATTAATGTTGAAGGACTAGACATACAATTTAAATTAGATCATGGTGCAGACGTTAATGTTCTTCCAACTCCATTGTATAATAAAATACAACAATGTTCTTCAAGACCACTACAGCTCAAGAAACTGCTGCAATATTCTAACATTGCAGCAGTTGCAGTTGAGGGCACAATTTTATTAAATATCCAAGTAAATAATATGAAGTGTTGTGAGATGTTTTGTGTAGCTGGTAATGAACACTCAGTTCCGATAATATCTCGTGATACATGTGTAAAGTTAAACCTAGTAAAGCATGTGGAATCTGTAACTATTGCAAACTAATGTTATTTTATTTAATGTAATGCTGATCTGTTCTGTGGAATAGGTAAGATTGAAAAGTCTTATTGCATAAAAATTAAACAGGAATCGATTCCTACTTCAAAACTACCTTTAAGAGTAAACCACCATACGCAGCAGGAATTACAAAAGTTGACTAAATTAGACATAATTTCCAAAGTTGAGGAACCTTCTGAATGGGTCAACAGTTTAGTTGTTGTTGAGAAAACAGATGGATCCATTCGTCTATGCCTAGATACTAAAGACCTGAACGAGGCTATTGTCAAAGATTACTGTCAATTCCTATTTTATTAGACTTATCTGCAAAACTAAAGCATGCTAAATTTTTCTCAGTGTTACATTTAAAAGATTCATTTTGGCACATTGTTCTTACAGAAAGTAGTTCTAAGTTATGCACATTTTCTACGGTCTTTGGGACATATAAATTTTATAGATTACCGTTTGGTCTAGCTATATAAATAATATAAATAAATTTCAGTACATGTTAACCGAAGTAAGTTAACTTGGACATATATTTAAAGAAGGTACTGTTGCTCCAGACCTTGATTCGATTAAAGCTATATTGGAATATGATCAACCTAAAAATAAACATGACCTACAAAGACTTCTTGGACTGGTGAATTATTTGCGATTATTTATTCCCAATCTTCAGATACTACTTCTCCATTGAGGGACCTGTTAAAAAAAGATTCTATTTTTGAGTGGCAAAAAGTTCATACTGATTGCTTTGAAAAAATAAAAATGATAATCACAAATAAGCCAGTGCTCAATACATTTAATTCAGATGAGAAGAAAACAATTCAGTCAGATGCTAATAAAACTGGAATTGGTTGTGTTTTATTACAAAGTAATAGACCTATATGTTATGCCTCTAAATCTCTAACAACAACTGAAATAAATCATGGTCAGATAGAAAAAGAGTTTTTAGCTGTTTTGTTTGCCTGGAAGAAATGTCATTCGTAAATTTATGGCAGAAAAATTAAAATTCAAACGGACCATCTTCCATTAATTTCGATTATGAAAAAAGAGATTTGTAGCATACCATCTTTACGCCTGCAAAGAATTAAACTAAAATTAAGCATCTATGATGATATTCCCATGACTCATATTCCAAGCTCACAAATGCACATAGCTGATGCTATAAGTAGGGCTTGTTCACAAGCAAGATGGCAGACAGACGATTATTGTACAACAGTTAGAAGTTTATTAAAAGTGGAATACGATAACAGAACAGTCTTACTTTATTAAAGTGTTGACAGAGTCAGATTACACATAACACAAACTAAGCACGAGAAATAAACTATGTTGCCAATTTCAGACAAAAAGTGCAACCGAGTAATAAAAGCAACACGTATGTTACGAAATAATAATTAGAAGGTAATGTTAAATAATATTATAAATATAATGCAAGGTTATTATTATTACGCAAGGTAAAACTATTTGATATTATTTATTCCTACATCCTAATAGTTGATTTTGATTGACTATAATACCTGAAAATTGTAAACAATACTATTGTAAATTGTTAAACTATAGATAGTATGGTTGTAAATAAAATCGACAATATCGATACTAATGATAGTTTAGGCCTGTTCAGATATAAGCGATAACGCTGTCGCGTTCGGTAGCGATACCGAATCGGTACGCGATAACGCTGATGTCCTCGGTACGCGATATCGCCTAACAGCGCGACGCGACGCCGGACGGTGCGTGGCAAATACCCGCCTCCTCCCCGCATACGCAGCGCATCCAGCCAGTCCTTCCTTCACTCTCTGCGAGGCGCATCTCACGTGCACGTATTGCTATTTGTTTTTGCATGGACGAGTTCGAGATCATGCCGAAATCAATTGAAATAGAAAAAGTTGTTGATTTGGTAAAATCTTATCCAGTGCTATTTGATATGACTCATGCAG